CCTGTGTCAGCACCCTTTCCAAAACTGGGGTTGCTGGCTATCAAGGGAAATGTCCTCCCCACACATAAGAGAATCAACACAGGGCTACATTCCCCTTTGTTTGCAGGAGCAGGGAGAATTTCTCCAAGACCAACTCTCCCACATTTGGAACAGCCTTCTGACCTCCCTCTCTTATCAATATCCCAGTCAATTTCCTCCTCCGTGAGCTTGCTTTGTAAAATGCTGCTTCACTTTGCATGCACACTGGAATAAGAGCATCTACTCACAAGTGTTTTCTCTCCAGCCACTTGGCTCTCCATTCACTTTTCTGCTTGCTGCCTCCCACCATGGAGAGTGTCCCATTTTGATATTCATCCTGTTTAGGGGCATGGGATGGAGGGTGCTGAGAAGGGAGTGTGGCAGCATGAGTGAGGTCATGAGGAGCGGCAGGGGGTTTTGCCACTCTCCCTGGGCTGCTCTCTAGCCATTTCCAACAGCCCATGGTAAAAGTGCCCTGCTGGAATTTCGAACAACACAACAAGCCACGACTGGCATGAATAACTCTAAAACAAGCCATGGATTCTCAGGGATTGTTTGTAAAAAATAAACCACCCTGCAGAAACCATGTTGGGTTCACACAAACACAGCAAACCACCCTGTCCGGTCACCCATGATGGGCTGTCATGTCATATGAATCCAAGTGAATGACACTTTACTGAAGGCTTGGCTCACCCTGCTATTCTGCAGTAGCCACTTCTTTAAAAGCCAAGAATGTGTTTAGTGTTCTGTTTAAAGTTATATTTGATAAATAGAGGTGGTGGTTTTATATAAGAATGAAATCAGCATGTTACAAAAGCAACAATAAAACTCGAGGAAGGGGAATCCTTAAAACCTTGAATTAAGGAAGAGCCAGGAATGAATAAAAAGAATGAAAAGAGACCATGAATGACAACTGAAAGGGTCCTACAGCCTTCCCTAAGCTGGTGTCTTCCAGATGTCTGGTACCACAACTCCCACAATTCCTGAATGCTGGCCATGCTGGCCAGGGCTGATGGGAGCTGTAGTCCAAAACATCCAGAGGCATCAGGGTGGGGATGGTTGGTGTAAATTATGTTACACTAGTTCAAAATATATTTTGGCGGCTGGGGTCTGTGTGGAGCCTTAGTTCTGTGGCCCATACACCAGAGAAGACCAGGCTCCATGTTTCTGTTCTCTGGGAGTGAAGGGGGGCAGCTGGCCTTGAGGAGCCTCACCCCAAAGCGAGCTGGCCTCCTGCATCATTAACATCCTGGGAGAGCAGGATATTAATGATGGAAATGAGGCACCTCTCCAGGACACTTTTCAGTAGGCCCCTGCTGGAGTGTGGGCCCTCAGCTTGTTATTTCTGAGCTACAGATCATGTGCATTTATTCCCCACTCAGAGACTGAACTCGGGTTGGCAGCTGAAGCAGGATGAACAATGGTCACTCGAGTGACTTATTCAAGCACATTTTTTAACATGGCTCCGAAGGACACAAGGCAGCATGGAGAAATTTACTGGGAACAGGTTCCAGAAAACTGAGACTATCCCTAGTGGGTGAGAACAGTTGGAATGGATAGGTTAGGACCACATTTTATGATTTAGTAGTAATATGGGTGGGTATATTTGCCCAGCTGGTGTTGTCAGGGCAGGACTTTGAGGCAGAGGCCCAAAGCCCAGCTCAGTAGAAAAAGTAGAATCGCCCCCAGGCACAACAGGACTGGCTTACCACATTTGGGGGCAAGGGAAGTAATATGCATTGCCTCCTACTGTGGGGGAAGATAAAATGGTTAAGTCCAGAGCCTAAAATTATCTAGCCTCTTTATTTGGTACAGGCGTTCATGTTTTAGAACAGACACGTCAGCTAAGTCAAGAGTGGACTCAATTGGCAGTCTGTAAGTTGGATCCAGCAGATTTACCTGTCCACCCCCTGCCAGAAAACCAATTCCTCAAGTTTTGTCAGCCAGAAAATGGAAGTTGATGAAACTTCCAACATTACATGGAAGAATTACACTTCCATGAGCAAAAGTTAACTAAATATTCTTCATCTCTTCTGTGGCACATTGAATGTGTACATAGCATCCATTACATCCTTTAAAAAGAGACTCTGTGTATGATCATGTGTAGGTGGGGGGAAGGGGGGAACCAAGGACAGTAAGTTAGCTGCCTGTCTCTTTATAACCTAGACATTTTTTGAACATCCAAGCATATTCCATAAGAGAAGTTAAAAAAATAGCAAGTTACCTTGTCCAAGGCATATCCACTGGATTAGATCCAGAGGAATTCAGTCATGCTATTAAACTCCTATTGAAATCAACAGAACAAGTTAATAATAACTTAAGCCCCACTGATATCGATGAGTAGCCAGTGTCACTGACTTCCTCTGGATCAAACCCACAGGTATTTAATGACTCTCTGACATCCCAGGTCAAAACCCAACATGCTAAACACTAGCATTCTCCAACCTGGTGCCCATAACATGCCCTGGACTTCACTTCTCAGATGCCCTCGCAAGCAGGACTCATGGTTGGGAATTCTGGGAATGGTAGTCCAAAACATTTGTAGGGTACCAGCTCGAGGAAGCCTGCACTAGGCCACACCACTTTCTAGGCTGAAGTGCAAGAGAACCTACTCAAACAATTTTAATCACATAATTTCTGGCCACTGTCACTACAGCACAGAATTTTAAGGCAATCTGCTCAGTGGGAATGTACACTCAGTTGATCATGCTTTTTAACATATCACTTGATTTGATTGCAATTGCCTAAATGCTTCTTCATTGTGTGGATTCATATGACACTCACTCACCACTCCATTACCTCTTCAGAGAATCCCAACTCAGCTTCTGCAGGCTTGAGAAAGCAACACTGAACAGAGATCTGTGCAGATGTTGATTTCTTTCTCTGCCACAAGCATCCCTTAGGTGACCTTGGGCATGTCACTTGTGCATGGGCGTCAGCTGCTGGCTACCCGTGCGTTTTACCACCCTGAGGATTCTCCCAACAACAGCAGTCCTTAGGAAGAAGCAGCAATATGGCTAGAAAAAGTGGCAAAATCATCCACACAAAAAAGAAAACTCTGCTCTGTTGGGTGAGGCATCTGTTTGTCCTCCTCCTCCTGGCATCCCCTCCTTCTGGGGGGACAGGAAACAACCAGGCCGCTTCCTCCCTTCCCCTCTGCCGACAGCCTCCATCCATCCATCTACCCATTCAGTCTAATATTCCTGAAACGTCTTTGCGTGAACCACAGTGAAGAAATGATTATTCGGCAAAATCCCGCCCTCCGTTATTCCCGGCTCCTTCTTTGGTCTCTTTCATCCACCTGCTCCAGATCCTTATTATTGTTATGATTCTTAAAATAAAAGAAAACAAAATCTCTGAAACACACACATACAACCCAGTCTCTTCTTCCTCTGCCATGGTATCTGTTTCTGCCACTGCAGTCATCTCCCCTTTTTCAAGCCACAATACTCATTCTACACACAGACACACACACACACTGAGGGACAGAGAGAGAGGCAGGCCTTGTGCTTTGGGTTTTCCTGCATCATTGCAGAGAGATGTATGGTTCCCACCCCCCCCACCACCATCCTCAACCTTCCATCCAGCAACTGACCGACCAGACCATCCCCGGAGAAAGAGGAGAAGGAGCTAAATAGGAGATTTCCATATAGCCCAGCCTCAGGCATTTATTCGAGCAATCTCTCTCATAACCAAGCCCCATAATCTAAACCGCACAATTGAATTGGCATCCCTGCAGAGTGTAGGGAAAAAACCCTCTTCCATTCATCTAGAGTGCTGCAGCAGGAGAAGATTGGGGGGGGGGGGGGGGAGGCGGGTGGAGAGAGAAATCTATAGGCCCATCCACAACACACAGCAGTCCAGGTTGCCCCCTTGTAAATACAGCGAGGCAGAGATGGAGACGCAAAAGAGAAAAAGATGTTTGTGCAAGTCCCAAAATTATTAGGGGTTAGGGGAACTGTTTGGCAGACATTGGAACCAATTTGTTCTTCTGGCTTCCCCATTCCCAGTCAACCTTGGTCATTGCAGCATTTTTTAAAAGCTGTGCCTTTATTCCAATTTTTTTCTTCTCCAGGCCACCAATTGACTTGGCATAGAAACCTGAAAAGAAGAGCTGAGACTGACCCGTCCAGGAAATATGGGTGACCCATTGCTGCCTCCCCGCTTTCGAGTTCCATTTAAGTAGATGTGTCTATACACACACCCCTCTCTCCTAATAAATATACACTGTGGATCTAGAAACCTGACAATCAAAAAGTAGCACTTGCTGCTAAAAGGGCATAGAATCGTACCCCTTTCAAAAACTATCATTGCTTTGTTTTCTTGCTTAGTTTTTGCAGGTCTGTGGGCCATCTCAGTAAAGCAAAACTGTTTACTTGCCATGCACCCCAGATAAACTCCAGCAAGGTAAACATTTAGTGCCCTCCTTCAACTCCAGCACAGATCATTTTAACAAGCCTTCTCATCTGAAAGACTCCCCCTCAAATCACTCTTCTTCCCAAAAATATCAGAGAGAGAGGGAGGGAAGGAGAGATCCAGGTGCCCCAACATCCATAAAGCTCTCCCAATCTCCTAGCCTTCAAGGGGCCACTGGTCCCAAACCATTTTCTGCCCTGAAGAAACTCAGGGAAGCAACAAACCACCCTTTCTCTCATCTCCCCCACCATTTATTCTCCAAATGGATAATACACCGATCCCCTTTTTTCCTGATCCCCCTCTCCCACTTTTATTCTGCAATGGGACAAACACTCCTACTACCTCTTACTAATTACACATCTATTTTATTCAGCACAATAGTCCAATTTCACCTGGATCTTTCTGTCAAATTAGTCCTAAGGTTCCTAATGGGTAAGCCAGAGATCAGGGTGAAGGGGGAAAAATCTAGCCGTGTTCTGCCATTCCCAGCCCCATGGCATTGGAGGTGCCCCTGCTGCACACACCCCCCACCTCGGAAAAAAGGCCGGCAGACACCAAGTACTCACCCGTCTGTCCTTTTCCCAGCGTCTTCTCCAGCCGGTAGGGCCCCACATACTGCGCGTGCTGCTGGCTCTGCTGTGGCTGGTAAGGGTGGACCCCACCTGCTTCTTTGCCACTGGACATGGCTTTTGTCTGTCACCCTTCTGAGCAACAATAAGAAACAGGGGGCTTGGGGTGGGGAGGGGTGGGGTGGGGGAGGGTGGGGGGAGGCAAGGAAAGGCCCCTCTGAAATCCCCCTATAGGGACAATACCGGGGCCGGCATCTTGACAGATTTAGCGGGAGGGGGATGCTCTGGGCATCAGGGAGGGGAAGGGAGGCAGAGAAAGAGCAGGATGAAGGATGCTACAGTCCTGGTACCAGCATCATCCAGCGGGTCCAGCCAAGGATGCTGCTGTTGGTTGGTGCTGATGCTGCTATGGATGAAGGATGCTGGCAAAGAGTCTCTCCTGGTCTGGTCCTTCGCCTCTTCTCACTGCAATCTGAAGGGATCTCTTGAGCTCTCCCCTTACATCAGCATCCGGGCAACTGGGTGACAGACACAATCCGGGTTAACCCTTGGCGGAACAAAGACAGCGCCTCCTCCCCAGGCAGGAGAAAGGGGTGGGGATTAGGGGGCGGGGTTGGGGGGAGGAAGGGAGTGAGGAAGGGCTCGGCTGGGAGGCGTGCAGCAGCTGTGTGGGAGGGGTTAACCGGGGATAGGACCTCTGCGTGTGTGAGGGAAATTGTGTCATGTATCTGAGAGGTAACATGGGAGGCAGCGTAGCTTTTGCTGATGGTACGCGAGTGACTTTGCAGAGGATGTTTTCAGAAGTGCGAGGGTTTTCCGTGGCGTCTGCGTGTGCAGTTTTGGAAGAAAGAGATTTATGTAATTCTGTGATGTGGGAGGGGTGTGAGCATTTGTGCGGACATGAGTGTGCATCTGTGCATGAGGGGCTGCCACTGTGTGTTAAAGGGATCAGGTGTGCTTGCGTGAGAGCGTGAATGCACACCTTGACAGTCTGAAACACACTGGAAAATGCACTCCTGGGAACGGGCTGCAGGTACACGATTCTTTATGCTATATTACATTCACATCATATTTTTTCCCTCGTTAGGAACCCGCCACTTTGCGTGGTCCTTCCCTCCATTCCATTTATCCTCACAAGAACCCTGTGAGGTAGGTTAGGCTTAGAATTGGTGGCTCCCAGTGAGCTTCATGGGTCCGACCACTGAATCACAGTCACTCTTGCACTCGGCATAACAACCGATGGCTTGGTTCTCGGAACAGATTCCTGTGCTCGCCTGTCTGAACTGGTTGTAGCATCATCCCATCTTGGAAGAGCAAAAGAAGTGGTCCCCCTTTATGCTTGAGCTGGAAGTGACTGGATTTCAGTTTAGAACAGTGGTTATTAAACTGTGGGTCCAGTCCCTTCCCTTTGCACCTTAACACCTGGAAAGAAAAGGGTCTTACACTCCCAGGAAGGGATGAGGATGCTGAGGCAGGTGGAGCCTTCCCCCACTCTGTCCCCACTCAGCTCATCGCCCAAGACATGGGCAGGCTGAATGCCCTCCAGCAATGAATGCATCTAAATTTGCACTTGTCTGGCAAGGCAACTTGGAAGCCTGGGACAAAACAGGCCAGGCTGTGTGTCTCACAACTTTCTCTTACAGCACCATGCCACCACCTTTCCGCTTCTGCCGCTGAGGCAACCACCTCAGTCTGCCTAATGATACACTCCCATGCCTAGACAAGCCCTTCCCTATCTCATAAGAAGAGGAGGAGGTTGCCGTTCCAGATAAATAGAATAAAAACATTGAAGGAAAGACTTGATTGGAAAACACAGCATTAGGGAAGCTGCTGAGGGCCAGCATCAAGGGTAGGCATGGTTGGGCACTTGCCAAGGCCTACAACCCAGCAAGGGGTCCACCAGAGAGTCCCCTTGTCCAACTGCTCCTCTTCAGCCTGGCCAGCCACTTGCACAACTGCTCTCCTGGCACAGGAGAGAGGAATGATGTGTGGGGAGGAGGTGGGTCTCTCCCCTCCTTTGATTGACTGGCTTTCTTCCTGGCCAAGAAACAGATGGTTACAAGAAGTGCAACTGCTGTGTGCCAGCTCTGTTTATAAGAGAAAGGGGTTTTGAGGAAGTTGTCAGGCCTCAGGTCCACGCAGTCAGATTGAGCCCCGGAGAAGGGGAAGGCCAGGGTACAAGCCCCAGGGACAGCTGGGCAACCAGGCAGAAAGTGAAAACCGGTGCCCTTCCTGTGCATGTGGTCACAAGCTGGCTAATGAGCATAATTACCCTTACCGCGTGTGGGTGGCTCTGCTGTCCAAATCTGATGAGGCTGGAAGGCTGGGAAAGTTTACAGTTTGCAGCTGGCATTTGTGGGGAGGGAATATAAGCCACCAGGGATTATTTGCACTCCATGATCATGCAAACCCATCCGAAGAGTAGGCAAATGGAGCTCAGAGTGCCAGGATTGAGGTGGCTAATTATGCATAGTTAAGAAAGAGGAAATGCATCAACCCTTTAAAAATCAGGACAAAAGGGAACACCAATTTGCATATCATTTCATATGTTAACATACATATAAGTGCAAATTTAGAAATAATTGTCTTTTAAATAGAAGTGCAATACATCTCAGCCTAGTAAGGAGGAATGACCAGGTAGGATTCATGAGGTGAGGGAGGATGGGGGCATGCAATATCCGCCCCCCCCCCAGCAGGGTGGGTGCAGAGGCCTCCCTCTGGCTGCATCCATGGAGACCTGCATTGCCCACCGCTAGCCCGCCTGCAGCAGCTGTCTGACCTTACATTTCCACCTTATGAAAAGAGGCATTCTGCAAAATAAATCCATTTTTCCCTCAAAGATGGGGCAGCATTACAACAAATTGCCAGATATACTGAGAGGCTGCTGAGGAAGAATAAGTCATCAACTTGGAGCAAAGGTGACCAACAGGTGCATGGAGTCCAGTCTAACCTAATGTGAATTGATCCTTTTAGGAGGAAAAAATCCCACAAAGAGATTGTCAATGAAAACATTGACCCAGTGTGAAGCACCTGAAAAAAGACTTTTTTTTTTGCTAGCCATTTATAGGAAATAGGTTCTTTATTTATTGATATAATGCATGTGTATCCCACCTTTTAGGGTGAAGCCCTCTTAAGGTAGCTAATAAAAATCAATCAAATAGATGCATCGAACAACAGAACTTGAAAATAAGATCAGTAAGGGTGTGATCCTATGCAGGCCGAGAGAGAAAAATCCAATCATTCCCAGGATTCCCCAGCCAGCCGTAGTGCAAGTTGTAAGGCTTATTTGTCAAAACATGCATAGAACATGCACGTTAAATCACCCCAAAAATAGAAATGAAATATGAAAGCCAGTATAAAATCAGTTATATAGTGAACACAACAACAGCAAGCAGCATTTTAAAAGTCATCAGTTGTTTGTCAGGGATGAAGACCTAAATATGTAGGGCATCACTGAAAGGGATATATTTACAATAAAGCTACTGTTATTAAGATGCCCTTTTACAAATCAATGGTGCCAATAACATTGTAATTCTGGGATGTTCTCAGATGAAGCTTTCATCCTGTAATTGCTCTACCCCATTCATGGAATTTTTCACAAGATCCAGATAATGGCATCTTCAATGTGTAAGCTTGTTTTTCCCTCCAGTTGCTTCTTTCATCTTTTTTCTTACCAAAAATAAATCTGTTGAGAAAAAGGAGGAATAGTTGCAGAATGCCTTTTAATTGGCTATGTTAGGAGCCCTCGATTCAGAAACACTGTTGGTTGCCCCATCTCAAAAAGCATATTGTAGAGACAGAAAAGAGCAACCAGAATTACCAGGAAACTAACACACTTTCCCTGTATGGAGACACTAGCTGTGTGAGTTTTTTAGTTTAGTGTGAGAGCAGGGGGTGAAAGGCAATTTTGCATGGTGTAGAAAAAAGGCAATTTTTCTTCATCTCTTGAAACTGATGAGCAAGAGATTCAGGACAAACAAAAGAAACTAGCTCTCCATGTGTCCTTTACAGTGGTGAGTCCTCTATTTGAAGGACCATTTTGGAGATTAAGAACCGTACAAGCAGGGAAGCGCAACAGAGGCCTTGAAGCTTCTCAGCCGCATTTGCTACCTAGACTGGGAAGGCACGCAAGTCAGCTTTCCCCATTATGCCGAGATGTATAGTATTTCTATTTAAGGGCACAATCCAAAGTATTTTTGGACCAAAAAAAGGTCTACTATTCTCAGCATTCCCCAGCCAGCCACACTGGGAGCGACGAGGAGATTTTTCTGCCTAAATATGCATAGGATTGCATCCTAAATCATAATTATTTTTAAATATATACCTTTGCCTATAAATATGGATATGTACATTAATGAACACTTATGGCCTTTTGTCCTATTTTTGGCAAGGAAAAGGTGGCCACTGTAATGCTACCGGATCATGAATGTCATGGTCTTAACTGGTTTCAGAAGAGAATTAGATGAAGTAAATCATCTAAGAGAATTAGACTGAGGTAAATCCAGCTTAATTATTTTGACACAACATACCCATGCTTACTTGAGTGAATTACCATATCTATTTTCATGGCTTAACTATCATTTTCTTCCTCCTCACAGAAATGGAGTGAGGTCAACAAGAATCCTGTCCTGTGTCCTTCATACTATGTGGGTGGAACTAGGAGACAGGGCTTTTTCCAGTGTGGCACCTAGCTCTAGCCTGCTCTTTCTTGTGAGGCCTGGCCGGTCCCTTCGCTGGTCAACTCTCGATTTAGTTGCTGTTGCAGCTGCTGCTGTTACAACCAGCTGTGCAACAAACGAAATGTTGCAGTGTGAAGTGCTCTTGTTCATGGGCCAGCCGGCCACACCCTTCGAAGACACTCCATTCCATCCCCTTCCATTTCCCATTCCTTCCTCCTCCAACAGTCAGTAAGCATTCCAGGACCACCAAGCATGCTCATTCTTGATAAGCCTGCTTAGTTTCCTTCACCCTTACAGTTTTTTCTTCCTTTGTACTTCTGCACACCTTGGGGTTTCTCCAAGCTTGCTGATACCTCCCTCTTGTGGATGGATGATGCTAGTTTTATTTTATAAGAATCCGTAGCTGATAAATTTTCATTATTCATATATAAAGTGG